TATAACGTGAAAGAAGTCGTTTTGTCATTTTTCTCAAGAAGAAATATCGCTCCTTTTTGTATGTTTGTATGCGTGTCTTTTTATATACGATACACATTCTAGAATCCCTCTCAATTTGCCATAGAGGTAAACCAGAGAAGTATATAATGTGCTATATATGTCTCTGGGTAAACATATTTGAAAAAATACCCAATAGAACTTCAAATTCCTAGGCAAACATTGTTGCCATTTCAGAAATGATGATTGATACAGGGGAACATACATTTCACAATCTTGACGATCAAATCATTTAACCTGTATTTCGTGACAGCCATGTCATTTGTTTACGACAAAACTGATGTTGCACTATAAACTTAGTCACGTTTTACGGACATATTACTATGATGGTGTAGATATATACACACATGTATAAGACATTATTCTCCCTTCGTCAGTTGTGCTACAATATTCAATATATCGACACAATGCATCATATTCCTTACTTGAATTACCTGTTGTAACTTTACCTGAGCTTGATGTCAGAATTGTTTTGAATATATACACATGTATGGAGAATAACATTTTTTATACATATTCTAAATAAAATTTTACTTCAGACGATTTACACAATTGTCAATCGATCCCAGGTCTCAGACTTGAGAATCCGTAACTCAAAGAAGCATGCTGAACCAGCCGAGTAACTGAGCAAGTGACAACCCCCTGCCCTTTAACACTATATCTATCGGAAAAACAATCAACCAAAATGATTTTGTTTCCAAAATTACACTTCACTTCATTGGTTTATAAGGTACCTTGTAAAATCAGGTGAAAATGATTTAAAAGTTTACAATAATAGATTGTATTTCATGAATAAATGCCCACTTGGTAGCATTTGACAACAGACATATGCTTCGGTAACAACTGAGAAAATTTTTAGTTCTCCATTATCAGTGTGAGGTGTATTTTCCTGTTGTTATCGAGAAATCGTTATGCGTGTTCTGTGCTGATATCGAGAAATCGTTATGTGTGTTCTGTGTTGATATCGAGAAATCGTTATGTGTGTTCTGTGTTGATATCGAGAAGTCGTTATGTGTGTTCTGTGTTGATATCGAGAAATCGTTATATGTGTTCTGTGTTGATATCGAGAAGTCGTTATATGTGTTCTGTGTTGATATCGAGAAGTCGTTTTATGTGTCCTGTGTTGATATCGAGAAGTCGTTATATGTGTTCTGTGTTGATATCGAGAAGTCGTTATATGTGTTCTGTGCTGATATCGAGAAATCGTTATATGTGTTCTGTGTTGATATCGAGAAATCGTTATATGTGTTCTGTGTTGATATCGAGAAGTCGTTATATGTGTTCTGTGCTGATATCGAGAAATCGTTATATGTGTTCTGTGTTGATATCGAGAAATCGTTATATGTGTTCTGTGTTGATATCGAGAAATCGTTATATGTGTTCTGTGTTGATATCGAGAAGTCGTTTTATGTGTCCTGTGTTGATATCGAGAAGTCGTTATATGTGTTCTGTGTTGATATCGAGAAATCGTTATATGTGTTCTGTGTTGATATCGAGAAGTCGTTATGTGTGTTCTGTGTTGATATCGAGAAATCGTTATATGTGTTCTGTGTTGATATCGAGAAGTCGTTATGTGTGTTCTGTGTTGATATCGAGAAGTCGTTTTATGTGTTCTGTGTTGATATCGAGAAGTCGTTATATGTGTTCTGTGTGTTATCGAGAAGTCGTTATGTGTGTTCTGTGTGTTATCGAGAAGTCGTTATTTATGTTCTGTGTGTTATCGACAGGAGAAATCTTGGTTTCATTCATTACACAAAGTCGGAGTTTACCTACAGAATACATAGCCCAAAGTCTGTGTCTACATACAGAATCTACAATACAAAGTCTGAGTTTACATACAGAATCTACAATACAAAGTCTGAGTTAACCTACAGAATACATATACCAAAGCCTGTGTTTACAGAAAACGCAAACAAAAATAGAATCAAGAGGAGTGTACGACTGATAACATTTTCATTCCAGATATGAAATTTATCAAGCACTTATATGTACATGTACTTGTGGCCTGATAACACCTTTACTTTATCTACGTGTTATCAACTGTGTGCCTGCCAGTATACGTACTTGTATCCGATATGCCTTTTTTGATAACGTATGAGAGCATCACGATACTCTCTCTAGAATGGAAATGTCTTTAGTCGTTAAGTGATGTGCAGGTCGAAGCTCGTTGGTCATTTGGGTTGGTTGGTAGAAACTCTGTTCTTATATTGAGAACGCACCATTACTTTTGTTGATGTCGTTGTCGCTAAAGAAAAAAAGATGTTTAACAATCCGAAACACGTCGTCTTGTTCTATGCTGGGTTCATGCTCCTTTTGACCTTTTGAGCAGGAGTGTCCTTTAAGTAGCTTGTGACTACCTGAATAAACAACACACAGGAGGCCCGTCGCATGTCTTCTAAATCAATTCAGGCATTCTCAGTGGAAAATGTCCGCTTCCTAAAACTCTTCACCTCAGGTTGGAAAGTCCGACGTCCTGACGATTAGGTTATAGTTGTCTACTGCGATATTAAGACCAGTTACCGAGTACAAAGTTTAAGATGTGCGTTTGGAATTAAAAATTCTTTTGTTATTTGGTTTCGATTGTTTCCCTTTCTCTTCTTTTGTTGCACTGCCTTAGTTTAAACTTTCTATTTAAAATCCGTTGAGTGATTGTGATACACAAAGGGTAAGCCATTACCGTTTCCATGACTACAATGGTCACAGCCTTCGTACATACAAAATCACACTTCTTTCTAGTCAGTTTTCATTCTGGCTTTGCCATTAAATATTTTGAGTATACGTTTAATTGACATGTACTTTTTATTAATACACAATTTTTACATGTTAAACATCCTCTTCTTATTTGGGTTTTACAATGGGGTAGCTGAAATGACAGTGGATGATTGTGTCTAGAATGCCTGACTGGGGGTATGAGTCGGTTTTCTTTCGTAACGGCAACATTATTATAGACAATATTGAACAGCATGGTAAGACGTGCATCTCTACGTCTGTCAGAGAGGGGGCGTAACTGTAGGCGTTGCAACATTTCAGTGACGCTGGAGGAACCCCAAGCATGAAAATACTATAATTCTATAATTATTAGTTTTATATTTCATTTCTGCTTTGAATCAACTAGTGAATTGTAGGCGGACACATGGAAAAGAACTCTATTTGAACGGTTTTGATGTTACAAGAGGTCGCTTATATCATCTGAGATAACAACAACAAACAAAGATTAAACGTAATCATTTCAAAAAGGTGCACACACAAACACGAATTTTTACATGGTTTTATTTCGAAAATATCTGTGTCGAAAGTGATGGTTCAGTCTTACAGTATGTACACACATTTCAAAACATTAATGCACTTGTTTGTATGCAATCCATCAACGTAGATGAGATATTTTGACAAGAAGCGTAAGAGATCCGAATGATTCGCTAACAGTCCATGTACGAAATGACGTTACCTGAATAAGGGAGGTAACTCAATTGCCTGCTACATATCATGGAGTGTAAGGGAAGTAACTGCAGAATTGTTTCTCTTGTGGAACTATTTTTTATCTAGAAAATCAATTTTAAAGGTTTTGGAAGAAAAAAGAGCGATTGACTGTTCTCTCATTGGAGAGAACGTGTTTTCGTTTTAATCATAACAGCATCAATTGACAGATATCATGGAACACAGAAATCATATCAAACAGTTTATTGAAAAAAAATACTGCGGTGAGATCATGGTTATTCTGTAGAACGTACAATACAGACTTTGTTACGAAAGGACCTATTTCAAATTTATCAACCTTTGAAATGAGACGAAATGAAATCGAGGACAAGATATGAAACAGCAAGTTTGAGGATCACCTTACAGTCTTTACTACCACTCTACCTTTGGCGCACAGAGACCTACCACTCTACCTTTTGCGCACAGAGACCTACCATTCTACCTTTGGCGTACAGAGACCTACCACTCTACCTTTGGTGAACAAAGACCTACCTTTGGCGAACAGAGAACTAACACTCTACCTTTGGCGCATAGAGACCTACCATTCTACCTTTGGCGAACAGAGACCTACCACTCTACCTTTGGCGAACAGAGACCTACCATTCTACCTTTGGCGAACGGAGACCTACCATTCTACCGTTGGCGAACGGAGACCTACCATTCTACCTTTGGCGAATAGAGACCTAACATTCTACCTTTGGTGAACAGAGACCTATCATGAACCTTTGGCGAGCAGAGACCTACCTCTCTACCTTTGGCGAACAGAGGCCTTTGGCGAACAGAGACCTACCACTCTACCTTTGGCGCACAGAGACCTAACATTCTACCTTTGGCGAACAGAGACCTACCACTCTACCTTTGGCGAACAGAGAACTAACACTCTACCTTTGGCGCACAGAGACCTACCACTCTACCTTTGGCAGACAGAGACCTGGGAATGTAAAACCAGCCTGGCAGAGGAGAATAATCTTCAGTGTTTCAGAACGTCTCTACGGCGATGATTCTTTTAAAACGAGAATGAATCCAGAGCTTTCTTGCACCGCTTATGTCACGTAAGTACACGTGTGTAATCCTACAATATTTTACACTGTTTTATACTAGTAAGTTAATAGATAACTTTAAACTCATATTACTAGTACGTTCTAGTACAGAAAGAATACAGTATATTATGACACAGTGGTAACAAATGAGATATAGCTTTCTCGCTTTGTCGCCGCGACAAATCGCCATTAAAAATTTGACACGGTGTCGCTCAAGCGTCAAAGCGAAAACGGCTAATCTGTTATGCTTCAATGATGAACATGTTAAAAGAAGAAACAACTAATCCCATTTGCTTTCCACATTGAAAGACAAACACTTGCTTTGCCAGAAAAGTCTTGGACTTGATTTGACATTCGTTTTCCAGTCGTCAGTATTATGTGTGACGTCATACGTCGTACTCTGGCGGTGTTGCTATGTAGCGGGGGACGTCAAGCGTCATATTCGGTCGGCGGTGAGGTGTATCCGGACAGTGCGGCATTGTGGGCTTTCTCTAGTTTCCTGAAAACATGACAATAAGGTTATGCATTGGAGAGAAATATGACCCGTGTATAGAGGCCCTATATAATTTCCTTTATTAACATCTTTAACCCCTGACTCTTGTACAACCGTTGATCAGTATCCAGGTGATCAACTCCACCGGTACCAGGAAAACCCCATCATACCTATAATAATAGTTAACATTTTGCTTTCCTTAAATAGTATTATAAAATTCTACACGGACGGTTTCCTAAATGTTTTGCGTTGTGTTTAAGAAAAGGTATTTGCAATAATTTGAGTTCAAATTCAAACGGGGATCGATCATTACAAAAAGTTCACCCCAAGTGTCATTGTCATAAATGATGGTATATTTGTTTGTTTGTGTAACTGCTTCATAAAATTGAGTCAATTCTTAAATTTCAACCCATACGAGGCCAGTAATAGGTAAGTAAAGTTGACATTGTGTAGGGTAAAAAAACCAAACAAACAAACAAATAAAAAATTCTAGCATTGTTTGTAGAGCCATTACACATCTAGAGGTGCTAAATTTCATCATAATCGGACAATATTTGAACTTTGACCAAATCAGCAGTTCCGCCAGCCATCTTGGATACAAGTGGTCATCAATAGTCCATGACCTTTCATTACAGAGACCAACGGTTTCGCAGTTATATTCCCGCTATGTTTTAACTAATCGGAAGCCCTCTGATTCGATACCAGAGCTACTAACATGGGCGTAGCTTCCATAGAAAGAAAAAGCCCGGGCTTACACATAAAAAATCCGTGCATAGAGTATGTCGGACAAAATTACAAAACTAAGGTTGAAATAAATATCTAATATTTTTGATAAATAAAAAAATATAAAAAGAAAATTGTTGAATAACAAGGCCTAATGCATTGCTTTCCGGAACTTTATACACGTCATACTATTCTACTTCTTACTATCATTTCAACGTTTCCGATTATAATGTTGTTAAAATGCAAATTTTCAAAATGAAGAAGGCGTGTGGATTACAGACGTCGATCGACATGTTTTTCAAACATAATAAAGTCGAATCGAGCGACTACACTAAAAGTGACACATCAAAGACCGAAGGTACATGTAACCAAGATACGGAAATTGTCAGGGACATTTTCGCGAATCAAAAGAACAGAAAGTTAGCTTTTATTTAGTCAGAGGTTGAAAGTTTGTTGTTAAATAAATAAAAAAAAACATGTCTCAGAAAACGATTCAAAACATCTTTGAAATCATGCAATTCATTTTCCGTCGGGGGACTTCGCCCCCCTGATCCCCCACCAGGGCCCTGCTCTGGACCCTCTGGGGACCTCGGCTTAGGCGGTCCCCCGACCCCTCGCCTGGGCTTACATATTTCTGCTACCCCCCAGACTAAGGTCATCTATGTTCATGTGTAGTTTCATTAGAATTCGAACCAATGATTTCGAGGAAAAAAGTGTTAAAACCTCGCAAATGAATTAGAAACGGAGAACAAACAACAATTTCCCCACTTCGTTTGGAGGGGATCGACTGATTTTCCGCCATTTTGTCGCGCCGAAGATAGTCGGTGTCCCTACTTTCGGAGAATTTAAAGCTTCATTTTTTTATTTAAACTTATACATTGTCAAAATGCCATTCTCTACCACATAATGTTATAAGAACTAAAACAAGGTATGTCAATGTGATACAACGCAATGATAGTGCATGTTGTCAGAACATAACTACATCGCTTTATCGGTAATTCCAACTTCAACAACATCACCTGATTTGACACAAGTCTACAAAGCCACAATAAGCAATATCAATCAGTAAAAATTAAACAGACTACACCGCTTACACCGTAAACGACGTGAAATAAGTAAACGATGTGACACATAAATATTTATACCGGTAACAGGGAAGTCTGTACTGTCAATACGGAAAGTAAACGAGGTGACACATGGATATCTATACCGGTAACAGGGAAGTCTACTGTCAATACGGAAAGTAATTAACGTGACACATGGATATCTATACCGGTAACAGGGAAGTCTGTATCAATACAAAAAGTAATTAACGTGACACATGGATATCTGTACCGGTAACTGGGAAGTCTGTACTGTCAATACAAAAAGTAATTAACGTGACACATGGATATCTATACCGGTAACAGGGAAGTCTGTACTGTCAATACAAAAAGTAATTAACGTGACACATGGATATCTATACCGGTAACAGGGAAGTCTGTACTGTCAATACAAAAAGTAATTAACGTGACACATGGATATCTATACCGGTAACAGGGAAGTCTGTACTGTCAATACGGAAAGTAAACGATGTGACACATGGATATCTGTACCGGTAACAGGGAAGTCTGTATTATCAATACAGAAAGTAATTAACGTGACACACGGAACGATGTGACACATGGATATCACGGTACCGGTAACAGGGAAGTCTGTACTGTCAATACGGAAAGTAAACGAGGTGACACACGGATATCTGTACCGGTAACAGGGAAGTCTGTACTGTCAATACGGAAAGTAAAATGTGACACACGGATATCTAAACCGGTATCTATCAATACGGTAACAGGGAAGTCTGTACAGAAAGTAATTGTCAATACACTGTCAATACGGAAAGTAAACGATGTGACACATGGATATCTAAACAATGAAGGTAACAATGAAAGTAATTAACGTGACACTGGATATCAATACAAAAAGTAATTACGGAAAGTAATTAACGTGACACATTAATATCTATACCGGTAACAGGGAAGTCTGTACTGTCAATACAGAAAGTAATTAACGTGACACATTAACGGACACATCTATCTACCGGTAACAGGGAAGTCTGTACTGTCAATACGGAAAGTAAACGAGGTGACACACGGATATCTGTACCGGTAACAGGGAAGTCTGTATTATCAAAACAGAAAGTAATTAACGTGACACACGGATATCTATACCGGTAACAGGGAAGTCTGTACTGTCAATACAGAAAGTAATTAACGTGACACACGGATATCTGTACCGGTAACAATGAAGTCTGTACTGTCAATACGGAAAGTAAACGATGTGACACATGGATATCTAAACCGGTAACAATGAAGTCTGTTCAATACAAAAAGTCAATAAAAAAGTAATTACCTGTCTGGATTATCAATAAAAAAGTAATTAACGTGACACATGGATATCTGTACCGGCAACAGGGAAGTCTGTACTGTCAATACGGAAAGTAATTAACGTGACACATTAATATCTATACCGGTAACAGGGAAGTCTGTACTGTCAATACGGAAAGTAAACGATGTGACACACGGATATCTGTACCGGTAACAGGGAAGTCTGTATTATCAACACAGAAAGTAATTAACGTGACACACGGATATCTGTACCGGTAACAGGGAAGTCTGTACTGTCAATACGGAAAGTAAACGAGGTGACACACGGATATCTGTACCGGTAACAGGGAAGTCTGTATTATCAATACAGAAAGTAATTAAAGTGACACACGGATATCTGTACCGGTAACAGGGAAGTCTGGATTATCAATACAGAAAGTAATTAACGTGACACACGGATATCTGTACCGGTAACAATGAAGTCTGTACTGTCAATACGGAAAGTAAACGATGTGACACATGGATATCTAAACCGGTAACAATGAAGTCTGTACTGTCAATACAAAAAGTAATTAACGTGACACATGGATATCTGTACCGGCAACAGGGAAGTCTGTACTGTCAATACGGAAAGTAATTAACGTGACACATTAATATCTATACCGGTAACAAGGAAGTCTGTACTGTCAACACAGAAAGTAATTAACGTGACACACGGATATCTGTACCGGTAACAGGGAAGTCTGTACTGTCAATACGGAAAGTAAACGAGGTGACACACGGATATCTGTACCGGTAACAGGGAAGTCTGTATTATCAATACAGAAAGTAATTAAAGTGACACACGGATATCTATACCGGTAACAGGGAAGTCTGGATTATCAATACAGAAAGTAATTAACGTGACACACGGATATCTGTACCGGTAACAATGAAGTCTGTACTGTCAATACGGAAAGTAAACGATGTGACACATGGATATCTAAACCGGTAACAATGAAGTCTGTACTGTCAATACAAAAAGTAATTGTGACACAATACTGTACCGGCAAAAGTAATTAACGTGACACATTAATATCTATACCGGTAACAGGGAAGTCTGTACTGTCAATACGGAAAGTAATTAACGTGACACATTAATATCTATACCGGTAACAGGGAAGTCTGTACTGTCAATACGGAAAGTAAACGATGTGACACACGGATATCTGTACCGGTAACAGGGAAGTCTGTACTGTCAATACGGAAAGTAAACGAGGTGACACACGGATATCTGTACCGGTAACAGGGAAGTCTGTATTATCAATACAGAAAGTAATTAAAGTGACACACGGATATCTGTACCGGTAACAGGGAAGTCTGGATTATCAATACAGAAAGTAATTAACGTGACACACGGATATCTGTACCGGTAACAATGAAGTCTGTACTGTCAATACGGAAAGTAAACGATGTGACACATGGATATCTAAACCGGTAACAATGAAGTCTGTACTGTCAATACAAAAAGTAATTAACGTGACACATGGATATCTGTACCGGCAACAGGGAAGTCTGTACTGTCAATACGGAAAGTAATTAACGTGACACATTAATATCTATACCGGTAACAAGGAAGTCTGTACTGTCAATACGGAAAGAAATTAACGTGACACATGGATATCTGTACCGGTAACAGGGAAGTCTGTACTGTCAATACAGAAAGTAATTAACGTGACAGATGGATATCTATACCGGTAACAGGGAAGTCTGTACTGTCAATACAGAAAGTAATTAACGTGACATATGGTTATCTATACCGGTAACAGGGAAGTCTGTACTGTCAATACAGAAAATAAACAACGTGACACATGGATATCTATACCGATAACAGGGTATTTTTACAGTTAAAGTATGGGACAATTAAGCTGTGTATCATCATAGCTGGTGAAACAAGTGGCCAATAGGGCATGTATCACTTAAAGCCCTTGCCTTTTTGTCAAAATGGAGGTCATATCCACTTTACATAAAAAAAAGTCCCATTCTCCAAGGAATTCTTCCGTCCAGACTTGGACAACAACCTAATATGGAAAGAGGGTTTCTTCGAACCTTACTTCATTCCCCTTATCAGACCCCATATCTCTGGTCTCAGAGGGGCTAGACCCCTTGTTTGTACAAAAGAAGGGATTCCTGCAGACGAGGAAGGATTTTTAAAAAATGCCGTATTTCGCCTATTGCACGCCCCTCCCGCTACATGGGGACGAAACTAACCAATTATATCAAATTGATTTCCCTTCACGCGCCAATGTGGGACAGAATCCCTGTATTCCTACAGAAGAAAATTGAGTTTATCTAGGTCCCCTTTTGAACTCCGACTAAGGGGGTTGAGACCCATTGTTTATACTAAACCAATTTTCTTGACCTAGGTATGCTTCAGACCAAATTGAGAGAAAATACGGGCATCCCTGCCCTAAATCCTCTATTGGGCCCCGCCTGTCCCGCTGCAAGAAGCCGAGACCTACCGTTTATACAAATTTTATTCCTCTTAAGCCAAGGGTTTTAAGACCAAATTTGGGGAAAATGCAAGATGTCGTTTAGGACCAGTAGAGAAAAACTTTGACGGACGACGTATTAAGGACGGACGACTGACACTGTGTTATTGCATAAGCTCACCGGTCCTTCGGACCACGTGAGCTAAAACGTGAAGGTCAACACAGGGATTGGCGTGTTATGTGACCAGCGTATTCTGATAGTGACATCACTAGTTGCAGTTGATAAATGTCCATGGATGCTGGTCACTCATATAAATGTATCCCTTTGAAATATGATATATATGTTTGTGAAGTTACCGTTGTCTAACAGGTGTTCTAGCTTATGCATCTACCAGCTCATAGCCATACCTTCTAAGCAAAAGGAAAATAGCTCACGAAAAGAAAGTTGACGTTGCTAAGCGATTTGGACGCTCTAACCTCTTGCGGTTAAGGACGGTTATGGTGACTACGAAGACGATGATGACTGGAACGCCGACTGTAATGGCGATTGCGATTGGCCAGTATGTGTCATCATCTTCGTCGCCCATCTGATGCCTAACCTGGACGGCTAAGTCGCCAGAAGACGTCGATGTCCTGTTGGTATTTTGTGACGTATTGTCAACTCCAGTTTGTGGCGCCATATCCACTGATTTTGACGACACCGTGTCTGTATTCTTTGCTGTATACGTTATGGTGCTGTCTGTAAACAATCCTGCTGCTAAGCTTCGTCCAGTTGAAGCTTCTTGCTCGTTATTGCTAACATGTTGTTCTATTGTCACGTGTGCTTCTGTAACCGCTCCAGTCGTTAAAGAGTCATTTACAGGAGCGATAAAGGTTTCCGTTGTGACACTGTGTGTCGAAACGCGTGTTCCTAGGAGGTGTCCTTTTGTCGCCTCTGTAGAACGTGGGGAGATGGATGTTAAAGAAATACGAGCATCTGTCTTAGAAATAGGCTTCATTGGTTTGACTGTTCTATTGACGGCTACTTGATTTGTTGGTTTGCTTGTTCTACTGATGCTAGATGACGTTGGTTTGCTTGTTTTATTGCCGGCCTCTGGCATTTTTGGCTTGGTTGTCCAATGGCCGGCCTCTGGCATTGTTGGTTCGTTTGTTATATTGACAACCTCTGGCGTTGTTGGTTTGTTTGTTATATTGACACCCTCTGGCGTTGTTGGTTTGTTTGTTATATTGACACCCTCTGGCGTTGTTGGTTTGTTTGTTATATTGACAACCTCTGGCGTTGTTGGTTCGTTTGTTATATTGACACCCTCTGGCGTTGTTGGTTTGTTTGTTATATTGACAACCTCTGGCATTGTTGGTTTGTTTGTTATATTGACACCCTCTGGCGTTGTTGGTTTGTTTGTTATATTGACAACCCCTGGCGTTGTTGGTTCGTTTGTTCTACTAATGGCGTCTTGTGTTGTTGGTTTGTTTGTCCTTTTGTCGGTCTCTGGCATTGTTGGTTCGTTTGTTGTACGAAAGGCGTCTGGCATTGTTGGTTTGTTTGTTATATTGACAACCTCTGGCGTTGTTGGTTTGTTTGTTATATTGACAACCTCTGGCATTGTTGGTTTGTTTGTCATATTGACAACCTCTGGCGTTGTTGGTTTGTTTGTTATATTGACAACCCCTGGCGTTGTTGGTTTGTTTGTCATATTGACAACCTCTGGCGTTGTTGGTTTGTTTGTTATATTGACAGCCCCTGGATTTGTTGGTTTGTTTGTTATATTGACAACCCCTGGATTTGTTGGTTTGTTTGTTATATTGACATCCCCTGACGTTGTTGGTTCGTTTGTTCTACCAATGGCGTCTGGCGTTGTTTGTTCGTTTGTTCTACTAATAGCATCTGGCGTTGTTGGTTTGTTTGTTATATTGACAACCTTTGGCGTTGTTGGTTCATTTGTTCTACTAATAGCGTCTGGCGTTGCTGACTCGCCTGTTTTATTGCCTATCCCTGACGTTACTGACTTGTTTGTTCTATTGAGGGCCTCTGTGGTTGTTAGTTTAACTGTATCATTGACGTCCTCTATTTTTTCGTCAGCCTTCATATATATATCCGATCCTGGCGTCGCTCCAGTGTCTGCCGTATGTATGCTGTTGTTGACATCGTCTGCTTTTGAAAAGACTGTTGTAGATTTGTATGCGACATGCATATCAGGTGTGGTGGAAGATGTAAAATGGTGCAAACCATCAATATCCGTCAAAACAAGTGTAGACATATCCTCGTTATTACTGACAAAAGGTTTTTGTACAATATTCACAGTCATAGATTTGTTCACAGTCTGCACATTAAGCTTAGCGCTAACTTTCTGTGCGTCGTTGATTTCCTGTGTAGTATATTTCTGTGCATTATTGACATCAGGTGTGGGAGAATTTTGTAAACCATTGACATCTGGTGTTGTAGGTTTGTGTACATCCCTTGTGCTATGTTTGTAAACACTATCACTATCCGGTATGTTAGTTTTGTGCACAAAATTTAGATCCGGCATGGTAGTTTGACTTATGTCATTCACATCCGGTGTGGTAGGTTTGTTTGTATAATTCACATCCGGTGTGGTAGAAGTACCAGGAGTCACTGTGGTTGGTGCTTCCGCCGTTGTTAATGATGTTGAAACAGTGGCCTTATCTAATGGCACAACAGGCGATGTCGGAGATGGCGAGTTGGTTGAAAACGATACTGAAGACAACGATGTAGATGATACAGATGATTGAAAGGAGGTTAAATAATTGGTGTTTTGTGACGAAGTGTTATTATCACTATGGCTGATATCAGTGGCACCGTGGCTTCTACTTTTTACTGACAGTATATAACTACCGTTGTCTCTCTCGTAATCGAGATCTGGTGACAACGTGTGTTCTGTAGAATAGTTGCCGACTGAGCTGACAGGATCAAGTGCCGTAGAAGTCACGATGTCCTCACTTGTTTGACCGCTCACCTAAAACATATTTAGAACATTCCTAAACATCTTACCAAACAGGGAATACTTCAAGGGCGATGTCGATACAAGTATACATTTAAACGATCGACTGATATCTAAATCACGAAAACAGTGACAATTACCTACAGGTAGATATGAAGTGTAGGTGTGGTGTTGTATGAGGACGTGGCCACCTTCACGGGAAAAAGATGTTAAATATTGTTATTTTATATATAGCATACAGGTTAATGTAGCCATTCAGGGAAAGAACTTCATTCACATATATATACATGTTCCCATGGCAATCAAGGAAAGAAATACTGAAAATTATATATACATATATATATTACCGTTGGCAAACAAGGAGAGTAACATTGAATATTTTATTTATCATTAATACGGGTTCCCAATGGCAATTACGGAAAGCTTTATTGAGTATTGTTATTTCATATGATACAGGTCACTGTATACAGTCAAAGACAGAAAATGTTGAATATCCTTATGTACAGACATGTGATTTAGACCACCGCATATGTATGAAGCTAAAGAAAGAAGTGCTGAATATGAAAATGAAGAAAACAAGATAATTCATTACATTAGGTATCAACTTTCTTAGGAACTGGAAACTCCTGTAATCTAGATGTAACATAAGTGAAAATAATGGTTAGTTAAGAGAGTCGTATAAATCAAATGCTGACTACAGTTATGAGTGAATAATACAGGTAGATACGTATATAACATTGTGTAGGCTCTACTGGAGAATCACGGGAAGAAAACTATTGAATAATGATGTAATTTCTATTAATTTCTCTCGGATGATACTGTCGTCTAACGACCTACTACCTTGTTGAAATCCGTATAAGATATATAGTATTTAAAAAATAACGAAAGTCATCTTGATCAACACTCGTTTCAATCGTTGATTTTCTAGCTGTCGAGCGACGAGTCCTAGAAGGACGAAATACAGATGTATGATGTATTTTGGTTTCATATTCAGCGTGTTATATCCAACACATGTTGAGCTTATTATGAAAGAGCCTACACTTACTACAGCTTTTTTTTAACGATACAGTAACTCACGCTAATATCTGATAACTTTCGTCATTTATTTATTTATTTCTAATCACACTCAGGTGACGCTGATGTCTGCTTAAATCAATCAATGATGATAAATTATTAAAATTAGCTGATAGTGATAGAGTGGAACTGATCTTGAGAAAAAACTCATCAAAACGTACACTTTTCTTAAATGATACTTCAAAACTTAACGTGCAAAAAAGATGATATACTTACCGCTTCCAAAAGTATCACAACTATTGTAACGACCCGGTAATTCTGCATACTGTAAAATTTCGTCATGGTGAGGGCCTGTCTTGATTTAATTAAATGATTAATACCAGAATTATCATTGATGATTGGCTTTAAAACACTGTCCTCGGATCGGGGTCATTGTAGAACTTTGAAGTCAGAAGTCTGTGTGTAATTTTAGGAAACACTTTTACAAAGATACAGACAGAACTACGTAGCCTCGGTTGACCAGGACAGACAGGTGTTACACATACCTGTAGTCGTTACACCCATAACATCAGACATGCCAACGGAAGTATCGTCCCTGGTGTGTATGGTAGATAGAAAACGTCACAGAGAACAGGAAGTATGGTATGTATGGTAGATAAAGGTACAGAGCAGGGTAGATTTGGCGTGTACGATAGATAGGGGTACGGGGGAGAGTTGTCTGGTGTGTATGGTAGATAGAGATACGGGGGAGAGTTGTCTGGTGTGTATGGTAGATAGAGATACGGAGGAGGGAGGTCTGGTGTGTATGATAGATAGAGATACGGGGGAGAGTTGTCTGGTGTGTATGGTAAATAGAGATACGGGGGAGAGTTGAGGTACGGAGGAGGGAAATCTGGTGTGTATGGTAGATAGAGATACGGAGGACGGAGGTCTGGTATGTAAGGTAGATAGAGGTACGGAGGATGGAGGTCTGGTATGTATGGTAGATAGAGGTACGGAGGAGGGAGGTCTGGTATGTAAGGTAGATAGAGGTACGAAGGACGGAGGTCTGGTATGTATGGTAGATAGAGGTACGGCGGAGGGAGGTCTGGTATGTATGGTAGATAGGGGTACGGAGGAGGGGGATCTGGTGTGTATGATAGATAGAGATACGGGGGAGAGTTGTCAGGTGTGTGTGGTAGATAGAGATACGGAGGACGGAGGTCTGGTGTGTATGGTAGATAGAGTTACGGAGGAGGGAGGTCTGGTGTGTATGGTAGATAGAGGTACGGAGGATGGAGGTCTGGTATATATGGTAGATAGAGGTAGGAGGAGGGAGGTCTGGTATGTAAGGTAGATAGAGGTACGGGTGTGTATGGAGATAGAGGGAGGACGGAGGTCTGGTGTGTATGGTAGATAGAGATACGGAGGACGGAGGTCTGGTGTGTATGGTAGATAGAGATACGGAGGAGGGAGGTCTGGTGTGTATGATAGATAGAGATACGGGGGAGAGTTGTCTGGTGTGTATGGTAGATAGAGGTACGGAGGAGGGAAATCTGGTGTGTATGGTAGATAGAGATACGGAGGACGGAGGTCTGGTATATATGGTAGATAGAGGTAGGAGGAGGGAGGTCTGGTATGTAAGGTAGATAGTGTAAGGAGGAGGGAGATCTGGTGTGTATGGTAGATAGGGGTACGGAGGAGGGAGGTCTGGTGTGTATGGTAGATAGAGATACGGAGGAGGGAGGTCTGGTGTGTATGATAGATAGAGATACGGAGGAGGGAGGTCTGTTGTGTATGGTAGATAGAGGTACGGAGGAGGGAGGTCTGGTGTGTATGGTAGATAGAGGTACGGGGGAGAGTGGTCTGGTGTGTATGATAGATAGAGATACGGGGGAGAGTTGTCTGGTGTGTATGGTAGATAGAGGTACGGAGGAGGGAAATCTGGTGTGTATGGTAGATAGAGATACGGAGGACGGAGGTCTGGTGTGTAAGGTAGATAGAGGTACGGAGGAGGGAGGTCTGGTGTGTAGAGATACGGAGGAGGGAGAGTTGTGTGGTGTAGATAGAGATACGGAGGAGGGGGTCTGGTGTGTGTGTAGATGGAGTGTACGGAGGAGATGTCTGGTGTGTGTGGTAGGTACGGAGGAGGGAGGTCTGGTGTGTGTATGGTAGATAGAGGTACGGAGGAGGGAGGTCTGGTGTGTATGGTAGATAGAGGTACGGAGGAGGGAGGTCTGGTGTGTATGATAGATAGAGATACGGGGGAGAGTTGTCTGGTGTGTATGGTAGATAGAGTTACGGTGGAGGGAGGTCTGGTGTGTAAGGTAGATAGAGGTACGGAGGAGGGAGATCTGGTATTCATGGTAGATAGAGGTACGGAGGAGGGAGGTCTGGTATGTATGGTAGATAGAGGTACGGAGGAGGGAGGTCTGGTGTGTATGGTAGATAGAGGGAGAGTCTGGTGTGTATGGAGGATAGAGAGTTGTCTGGTGTGTGTAGAGATACTGGTGGGGAGAGTTGTCTGGTGTGTATGGTAGATAGATGTACGGAGGAGGGAAATCTGGTGTGTATGGTAGATAGAAATACGGAGGAGGGAGGTCTGGTGTGTATGATAGATAGAGATACGGGGGAGAGTTGTCTGGTGTGTATGGTAGATACGGAGGACGGAGGTCTGGTGTGTATGGTAGATAGAGTTACGGAGGAGGGAGGTCTGGTGTGTATGGTAGATAGAGGTACGGAGGATGGAGGTCTGGTATGTATGGTAGATAGAGGTACGGAGGAGGGGGATCTGGTGTGTATGATAGATAGAGATACGGGGGAGAGTTGTCTGGTGTGTATGGTAGATAGAGGTACGGAGGATGGAGGTCTGGTATATATGGTAGATAGAGGTAGGAGGAGGGAGGTCTGGTATGTGTGTATGGGAGGTCTGGTAGTATGGTAGGTAGGTCTGTGTGTATGGTAGATAGGGGTACGGAGGAGGGAGGTCTGGTGTGTATGGTAGATAGAGATACGGAGGAGGGAGGTCTGGTGTGTATGGTAAATAGAGATACGGGGGAGAGTTGTCTGGTGTGTATGGTAGATAGAGGTACGGAGGAGGGAAATCTGGTGTGTATGGTAGATAGAGATACGGAGGACGGAGGTCTGGTATGTAAGGTAGATAGAGGTACGGAGGATGGAGGTCTGGTATGTATGGTAGATAGAGGTAGGAGGAGGGAGGTCAGGTATGTAAGGTAGATAGAGGTACGGAGGAGGGAGATCTGGTGTGTATGGTAGATAGGGGTACGGAGGAGGGAGGTCTGGTGTGTATGGTAGATAGAGATACGGAGGAGGGAGGTCTGGTGTGTATGATAGATAGAGATACGGGGGAGAGTTGTCTGGTGTGTATGGTAGATAGAGGTACGGAGGATGGAGGTCTGGTGTGTATGGTAGATAGAGAGGTCTGGTGTGTACGGATACGGGGGGAGGTCTGGTGTGTGTGTATGGTAGATAGAGGTACGGAGGAGGGAGGTCTGGTGTGTATGGTAGATAGAGGTACGGAGGAGGGAAATCTGGTGTGTATGGTAGATAGAGAT